TTCCTCAAGCTGGGTGGAAAAGGGGGAAGCTCTGAGCTCTGGAGCTGCTTTGGGAGCAGAGGAAGAAACTCTCTGGGGAAGGAGCGGGGCCTGAGCGGGGCCAGAGCGTCCTCACCCCACAGCCCTTTGTTTGACATTGATCTGATGGGCCCTGAGAGCTGCCAGGGCCACGGGCTTCCCGGCTGCCTCCTGAAATATTGATGAGGCTGCTGCCTGCACAGGAGAGCTCAGGGCTGGGGCAGAGCTCCGAGCCATTCCCTGCCCCAGCAAAGGAGCTTCCACAGCCTCGGTGCCCCCACGAGTCTGGGGCTGCTGTGGCCTTGTGCAGTGTGGGGCATTCTGGAGGTGGCATTTGGAATCCCAGGCTCCAGTTGGGATTCAAACCCGGGTGTGGGAAGAGCAGTGGGAGATGTGGGATCAGGCCGTGAGCAGGGAATTCATTTCACAGAGCTGAGCTTGGCACAGCCAGAGATCCAGTGGATCCTGGTCTGTCCCCCTTGGCCTCACCTGCAGCAGCAGGTCCCTGGAGCACATTTTCCTGTCCCCAAAGCCCGTTTTCCTGAGGTATCCCCTCCCTGTGCTGCTGGAGATGCTCCTGGGAGCACAAATGGGGAGCCCACTGTGAACCTCGCCCTCCTCCACCCCAAAATCCACCCAAAACATCCAACCCCAGATCTCCCCACGCCCCAAGGGGGCCGTGCTTAGGGCTGGGGGCGAGCCAGGATTTGTGATGGGAAGAGCATTAGGGCTCTGACGTGGGCAGGGGGGGATTAACCAGCTCCCAGCTTTCGCAAACCCCGGGAACGAGGCGTCAGTCCAGGAGCGCCTCTTCCCGGTTAGCACGGGATAAACGAGCTCCCCGTGGCATTTAGGGGAACCTCCCGCCTGGAATTGCTGCTCCAGGTGGTGACTTGGGGCTGGGAAGAGGTTTAAGTGCTGGAAAAGCCTCAGTCCTGGCCGAGGCTGCCGAGCTTCCCACGCAGAACCAGCGAGCTGTCAGGTGGAAACCTGTCCCCACCCTCGGCCGCGCAGATGGGAAATGGGGAATCCTCCTCCTGGCAGGCCTGGAGCGTGGATCCCGATCCCACGTGGCTCTGGGAGGGCTGTTTACAGTTGGAAACACATCCAGGAGGGAAAGGCAGGCGTCAGGACCCCGCTCTCCTGGCTTTGGGGTGCCTCAGGACAGGGAGGTGTGACATGGAACCAGCGGTTCTGTACACGAGGAAAATAATCATAAATCGGGGGGGGAGGAGGCTGAGAGGCTGCAAATGTCAGTTTTTAAAAGCACTATTTTCTGTTTTTCCTGTTGGATCTCCTTTTTTTAGGGAAGGTGGAGCCAAATGAGTCGCTAGCAGCTTGGCAAAGTGCAGATCAGCTTGCTTGCGCCGAGGAGGACAGGAAGGAAAGAGTCAAGCTTGTTGTAGGGCCTTCCTGGTGGGAACAGAATTTTTTAATGAAGGTTTACCCTGAAACAGGTAGGATTTATTCCCGATGTGAAGGAAGGGTGAGGAAAATCAGGTTGGGCAGATGTGTTTCAGAGGAGAGGGTAGGAAAGAGGCTGGCAGCCAAGGAGGAAAGATAAAAGGGGTGAGTGGGAATTCCTGGATTCACTGAGCAACTCCAGGAATAGGGAGAGGTGTTTCCTAGAGGACAAATTAGTGGGCACAAATGGGTAATTATCAGCAACAGGGCTTTGATGGACTCTAAAATACCTTGGCATAAGCCTCAGTCATGAGCTTAACCTGTGTCAAGTCTGGGTCTGTTCTCCCAGGGAACAAGGGGCAGGACCAGAGGAAACGGCCCCAAATCGCACCAGGGGAGGTCCAGGTTGGATATCAGGGAAAATTCCCTCATGGAAGGGGTTGTCAGGCATTGGAAGGGGCTGCAGGGGTGGAGTCCTCATCCCTGGAGGGGTTTCCAAGCCCTGTGGATGTGGCATTTGGGGACAGGGGGTCAGTGGTGGCCTTGGCAGTGCTGGGGGATGGTTGGATTTGATCTGGGAATTCTTTTCCACCCCTAATGACCCCATGACTTAAGCACACTCACTGTACCCCACAAAGAGGGGGCACCTCATCCCTGTGCCCACCCCTTTTCCCTGCCAGCCTCTGTGTGTGTGTTGGCATCGTGGCAGCTCCA